TTAAATTAAGTGTATTTACCCTTAATTTCAGAAGGTAAATAAGAGGATTTGCCATTGGAATGAGTATTTTTACTCTAAAAATAAGATAATTAGATAAAATGCACGTGAAATAACACAATGCAGTTGTTTTTTCTTATTTTAAATGTAACTTGTCTTGTTCCATTGGTAAAGCGCCTCACTTACCTCCTCAATCCAAGAAAAAATGCACTTTTTATAAGAAAAATTATTTATTAAGATCTCAATCTTTTGCAGTGTGGCTTCACCTCATCTGAAATTTTATTTCTTTTTCCCTGTCTTTCCTTCTTATTCTCTTAAAAAACAAACAAAAAAAAACCGACCACACATGCTCGCAATTACCTACAGTAACCACAGAGACAGAGAACCGGCACTGATGGACAGAATAATGGGCCCGGCTCTCTCTGACCCCTGCACCGCAGCTTTTACACAGAAATACTAAACTCCAGCTGCTGCTGTTGCTCAGCTTTTGTTTTAAAAAGATAATAAAAGGAACCAAATCCAGATGGACGGACCTGGGAAGGCGATTAAAAGTAGAAAATAAAGGACGGAAAAAATAAACCGGAGTCAATTTGCTGCTGTGAGGAGAAGTCAGTGGGTTAGCTCGCTCCTACGGCTCCCAGATTTTACTCCAAACCTTTTAGATCCTGGAATTTGTTTCAGATAAATTCCAGTAAATGCCATCATTCATATCTGTGTAATGAGGTATTTCTAGATTAATATCCAGTCTGTCAGAGGCATCTGAAGGCTTCACAACAACCCTTATATATGGGTTGTTTTTTTATATTGTATGCCCTTTTTTAAATTGAAAAAAGTAATACATACTAAACATACTAAATCTAAAACAGTCTAAAGCCTATACAGTACTTGATAAAAATAATTATTACATAAAAAGTATACATACTCCCATTAAATGTGGAAAAAATCAACTGACAGTGAAACAGCAAAAATTCAATGAAAATAGTGCTATTCATTTTGAATAGTGGTTCAACAGAAATATTAATGATAAAAACACAAACAAAAGAAAAACAGGTAAACCAGAACGATGGAGCTCCTAAACTAAAGATGAGGGAATAACTGCAGTCAGGTTTTTTTTTTATTAAATGTTAAGTCAGATTTCTACTCCTGTTGATGGTTTATTGGTGAAATGTTCATGAAGATACTCGCTGTCTGGGAGTTTTTTTTTTTTTTTATATCACAATTCAAAATCAATATTTCTATTTATTATATCATAATTTTGTATGTTTTCATTTATATTTTTTTCAGTTTCTTGTTATTAGAGAGGGCTGCTCAGTGGCGGCGGGTAGCATTGCTGCCTTGCAGGAGAAAGGTTTAATTCCCGGCCTGGGGTCTTTCTGCATGGATTTTGCATATTCTCCCTGAGCATGTGTAGGTTCTCTCTGGGTACTCCGGCTTCCTCCCACAGTCCAAAATCATGACTGTTAGGTTAATTGGATTCTCTAAATTCTCCTTTGGTGTGAGTGTGGGCGTGAATGGTTGTTTGTCCTGTTTGTCTCTGTGTTGCCCTGGCGACCTGTCCAGGGTGAACCCTGCCTCTCGCCCATAGACAGCAGGAGATAGGCACCAGCACCCCTTGCGAGCCCAGCTGAGATAAAGCGTGACTGAAAATGGATGGGTGGATGTTATTAGAATTACTGTTGTGAATTTATCCTTTTCTTTATAGTGCGAAGTGTGTCTAAACATTCCAGAACAACTGTATATATTTACCTTGTTAAATACGATCCATTTTAGGATTGCAAGTCCAAAGAAGGAGAGGTGTACAAGGGGATGCAGAGGAGCAAGATGTAAGGTGAGGAAAAGGCAGGTACGTTTCGGTACAATTTGTCCATGAAGACAAAAACACAGATAGACAAAACACCAAAGTCCCAGATAAGATGTGTTGAAAATGCATGTAGAAAACTTTGAAATGTATCTTGCCTGTCCATGGTAAATGGTAAATGGCATGTACTTATACTGTATAGCGCCTTTATTCAAGTAAGGAGACTTGACCAAAGCGCTTTACACTACATTCATTCACCCATTCACACACAGACAGCTCCCTGGGTGCTCAGCAGCCCTAAACCTCTGATGCTTTAACCTGAAATGATCATCAGTCCATTCTTCCTGGTGTGCAGAAAGGTGGAGTGATTGTTCTTTCTTCTCTACGGGGGTGATTCTAGGATCAGAGGTCTAGGGGTGCTGAGCACCCAGAGACAGTGAAGATTCATTTAACTGTTTTCTTCAAATATTTTTTAAACTTGTTCAGTGCGGTTTGCTGATAAGTGATCATTCACTAATGCATCGTATCCAAGGTTAATCTTTTAATGCTATTATAAATATTTTTTTAATACCATCAACAAGTACCACAAGTACCCATGACTCTCATATATATATATATATATATATATATATATATATATATATATATATATATATATATATATATATATATATATATATATATATATATATATATATATATATATATATATATATATATATATATATATATATATGGTATGTATTGCGATACTTGGATCACAATATGATACCATAATGATATTGCAATGTCACTATATATCAATATTTTTTCAATCTATCAAAATTAAATGTAATGATAAAAAAAAGCTGGATATGTTCATCTGAAGATATTGATCATTTAGTTATTTTGGTATCCATGTTGTTTGGGGTCTGAGTCAGTTCTCGTCTTCCACTGTAACTGCGTCATCGATATTGGGATGCGCCGCACAGCATCTGCCAAAGCGGTGGTGCAGAGGTAGACCATTTTCCTTTTTTTTTAAGTAAAAATTTTAGGTAATATGTTTTGTTTTTTAGAAAATCAATACTAGGAACTGAATGATCGACATTATATCTGGCAGCTGAAAATGGCGATATATCACCAAAACGATTTTTTCCCACACTCATATATATAACAAGGCAAAATCTTTGATCTTTACTGTCGACAGGCTGCAGCCATTTGGCGAATTCCTCGTTTTCCAGCCACTTTTAGGGAAAGTTGCATTTTCCCTATTCTCTAGCTTTTTCTCCGCCTCAAGCTTCTTTTCCAAACATACAGCTTTAGGATCAACCGGAAGCCGTTTCATGCAAACAAATCGAGATATAATATATATATGGCAAAATAGTTTTTATAAACTTTTTACATTTTAAATGCCACAATAATCACATTTAATGAGTTTTAATGCTAATTAAGGCCTTAATTTAAAAAATAATATTTTATGGCTTTTAAAGATTTTTAATGACCCGCAGAAACCCTGGTTTCTGAGACGTACGCCAAAAACCCGACAAGCGAAGCAAAAAGCAGCATTTTATTAGAAGAATATTCTAAATTAAAGCTTTTAAATCGAATCATTTCATGAAAACCTTTGAATCCGTTTTCATGAAAGGAGTTTTCTCTTTGTGTGCCAAAAATTACTTCCATGACGTACGTAAAATAATCTGCAAAATGAAATGTTTTTCTATGCCAGTTTAACAACTGCTGCTATTCTGTCTGTTTTTTGTTTTTTTTTGCTGACCTTTCACTTTGCACACACCTTGCTCCTCTGCTCCCCCTTCTGCACCTCTCCCTCTTTAGACTAGCAATCAAAGTGGATAATAAATTAAAATAACTATAAACTAAAAAAAATGACAACGATTTACGAACGATTCAGTTAATTTTAATGTTGATATTGAGTTGTGGTTTTAAAGATAATCAAACAAACCAGTCTCAGACACATTAGAGCGCCTCGCTTGGTAAGATTTGACCAACACGCCAACAATAGGTGCAGAAATCTGACTGAACATTTCAGAAAACACCTGAATGCAGCGTTTCCCTATAAGCGTTGCTCAACATTTTAGTTGAGGACCTCCATCAGGCTTCTTTACTTGTTTCTTCTTCTTTGTTTCTTATAATTTCTGCTGAACCAGAACATAATTCAACAAGTTAAATAACCAAATACTATATAGTTTTTACAGCGTCACTTTTTTTTTGCTTTGTTTGTTTTTAAATTGTAAAAAGCACATACATTATTAAAAAAAAGACAACAACTCATATTTTAGGGGTGCTTTGATTCAAATTACGGTTGCTTCAGCGCCCCCCAAAATAGGCTAAAAACGCAGATGCTCCTCTATTATTAACAGACAGGTCACCACCTGTCTGGCTGTGCTCCATAAAAAAAAAAGACTCATTAGCTTCAAATCTAAAAAGCTCAGAGCTGAGTTGGAGAGGGTTGCCGACACCCAAGGTGAGAAAATGAAGCATAAATTCAGATCTTCAGAGGCGGACTCAGATTGTATCAATATGCAGTACAGAAAACAGACATTAAACTTCATCCAAATGAAGAATAGAAATACGACCCATCAGCTGCTTGCTTTCTCCCTTCTCCTTTTTAAATATTGAGTACAACAATTTCCCCCCTTATGCCATTCATTTATTCACACATCCTCTCTGCCTGTGTCTATGGAAGAGGATTAGGGCCACTGAAAGAATAAAAAAAAAAGTTAACTGATTTTTAAATATCATTTCAGTTTAATATGAGAAAAAAGTCAGAATTCTGACGTTTTTCTCCAAATTCTGACTGAATTCTGTTAGTGTGAAGCCGTAGCCATGTCTAGAGACTAAACTGACTCTTGTTTTAATCATCTTCTGCTCTTCCAATAATGAAATAGCATCACAGGGACCTCTCTGGCACATAAAAAGTTGCCTTCCATCATTTTCCACCAATGTGTTACTGGTCCTCCCAAACAATTCACATCTTTGTCAGAAAGAAATAAAGTCAGAATTATGAGATTAAAGTCTGAATTCTGAGGAAAAAAAAGTCAAAATTCTGACTTTTTTCCCCCATATTAAACTGAAATAAATTTCAAAAATAGGTTAACCTTTGTTTATTTTTTCAGTGGTCCCAATCCTCTTCTGTATGTATCCCAGGCAGTGAGGTTGAGTGTAGAAATCCCTGTGCCATCAGTGCTGCTCCCTGACTTTAACTCACCGCTCTGCTTCTGCGTGACGCCGGACCCCATCCTGATCACCTCACAAAACAAGGACATCACAATGGCAAAGAGTTGCAAATGCATCTGGGCTGCTGGCGAGCGCCGGCTTCAGCGCCAGGCTCCAGGCATCTGCAGGGTCTCCAGGGCTGGCAGGTTGGGAAAATCAGCTCCACGAAGAAAGACGAGGCAGGGGAGGATGAAAGGTCTGAAGAAAGCTGGAAGAACAGGACGGATGGATGGGGTGAAGTGGAAGGCCTGAAGCAGCAATGAAAGCGCTGAAACACAAGGCAGATTTCCTCTTCTCCTCAGTTCTGTTTCAAAAAGATGTTTTAAGGCTGATAGGAGGAGACGGTCGGTCATAAACAAGAGGAGCAGCTGCAGGAGAGCGAAAAGACTCCTCTGCTTCCACAAACTGCCCGTTTGGAGGGAAAACTCTACAAAAACCTACCACTGTCAAATTTGCGATAAACGAGCTCCACTTATCCCATCGCCATCTTTAACCCTTTGCAGGGTGTGTGCTCTCTGGGCCCTAAGTGGTTCCATATTTCCAGAGGCCCCTCTGCCCCCTCCTCCTGAATCTACCTACGCTGTTCGGTCCTGCAGTTGGATTTTCATGCAGGTTTCTGAGGCAGTCCTGTTAAATATGTGCAAACAGTGAAGTTAGTTTAACCACCCTGAAAGAAAAGCGGCCGGGGAGTTTAATAAAGGCCTGCCGGCTTCGGGCTGCTTCTGCCCCCCCTCTCTCTCTGTCTCTGACCCTAATCTTATCACTGCAGTTTCATTAGAACAAACAAAAAATAACTAGCTGTTGTAACTTTTTTGGATTTTCCAAAAACAAAACAAGAGTTTAAGCATTTATTTCACTTATTTAAACCTAAAAAATGCTTTGTGTAAAATTGCTGCCAAGATAAAATACATGATACCTTTATTCATCCTTATTGATCATTTAAAGTTGATGCTGAAAGAGAAAAAGGAAAATATTGAATTAAGTTTTTTTTTCGTGACTATCACTCTTTCATACATTGACCCCCCCACGAAAAAAGCATAAAGTCTGTAAAATTGATTTTATTTCAAAGAAAGTGTCATTCAATTGATAAGGTTCTTAATAAGATTATTAAACTGGAAAAACTATCTAGAAGTAAGTGAATTTCTTAAATTAATAATTCAAGCTGGCTTGTATAAATAAATTAAATCCTATACATCTTTCAGGGAAATCCAATGTGGAGTACCACAGGGGTCAACATTAGGGCAAAACGTATTTATAACATGTATCAAATATACACTGAAAAAATAATGCAACAACTGTTGGCATTTACTTTATTATATTCGGTTATTGTACAACTGTTTTATTACCTACCTTGCTAACGTGAAATAATTGTGTTAAAGTAACTAAATATGCTTAAGTACATGTCAAAAGCGGTTGCATTATTTTTTTCAGTGTATCTTTAAATTATCAAAATTAGTTAAAATCATCTTGTTTGCAGATGACATTGATACTGTATATACACTGAATATATATGGAGATTTTTTTTCTTCTGGGTAAGGTGTCTGGCAGATTTAGGAAATTATTAAAACAAAAATATGTAAAACATTTTTAAATAAATAAAAAAATCACCAAACCTGAAAAGATCAAACTTTTTGGAAAACATAAAACTGAATGTGATTAGAACTAAATTACAAAACAATAAAAAATGAAATCCACAAAATCTCTTAGAAAATCTTATATATATTAAAAATACCGCTAATAACAATAACCTTATGTAGTTAATTACATTTAAGATTCTGATTATTAAAACAAACAAACAAAAGAACAAAACAATCATTCCAACCAAAAAGTAATATTAATGTGTGACATATTAAAGCAACATTTGTAAAGAACACAGTTGAAAACTGCTTTGAAAAGCATTTTGTAATTGCATATTTTAAAATAAATTGCTAAAGAGGAATTGTAAATTGTTTTCAGACCCTCTTTTTTTAATGGAGATTGAAAAACTCGAATAAATAAATCTGACAATACCTTTTCTTATCAAACACTTTATTAGGTAATTTCCTTTTTCGATTTGCATTTTCAAATCCTTTTTGAAAAAGGATTTAATGACAGCCGTCATGGTGGTGCTTAGGTTAAGCTGTCTACCATAGAAAGAACTGGTTGTGTCCAAAGAGCAACTTTGATTGGACTAACTTGTTTTTAGTGTTTAGGGGCCAGGAGGGTCACATGGATGCTGAATGGAGAGAAAAAAAAATAAATGCAAGGTTATTTTTTTTTTAATTATTATTAATTACCTTTTTAAATGCTGAATAGCAAAATGTATGTCTGAATTCTAATTCTTTGAAATCTCCATTTACACTGCAAAAAGTATCTAGAAATAAGTAAAAAAAAATCTTAAATTAAGTGCATTTACCCTTAATTTGAGTAGGTAAATAACATGATTTGTCAATGGAATGATTATTTTTACTCTTAAGATAAGAAAATAAGCACCTGATATAAGACATTGCAATAATTTTTTCTTATTTCAAATATAAAATGTCTTGTCTCATTGGCAAAATGTCTACCTTACCTCCCCAATTCAAGAAAAAGTGCACTTATATTAAGAAAGAATGACTTATTTAGATTTTAATTTTTTGCAGTGTAGAAATAGGATTTGAAAATACATTCAAAAATTGCAGTAATTTAGTAATTATTAAGAGATTGAATGTACAGTTTCTCTTTCATAACTTAGTTTAAATACTTTTAAATACTACTTTTTAGTGACTCTTGAGTGAGTTAAAGAAATACTCCACAAAATAAGTAAGGCAACATATAAATTCAGAAAGAAAACCATACAGGACTGATTTTAGTCATCATTTGATGGAAAGCTGAAGCTTTGAAAAACGTCTCAAATCAGAAAAAAAGGCTTTCAGATTTATTTATCTTTTTTCCAAATTTTTTTCTTTTTAATTTTTTTATCTAAAATAGCTTTATTTTTCAAATGTCTGTTTTTCAGAATGAGTTTTATGAATTGCAATTTTTTAAATTGTGTTTTATTGATTACATTTTCACATTCACTCCCAGGCTTTCCTCTTGAGTGAGGAGGAGCATTTCTATTGGTCGCCGCGGAGGTTAGCGCCAATATTTTTACTCGTCAATAGGCGCCTCAAGAGAGAAAGTGTTTGTTTTTGGCTTGAGGTAAAGATAATGTGATCTTTAAAATACAGTTTGAAATGAATACAGTTCACATGAAAAAGAGAAATAAAAAAAATAAAATAAAAATCTGTAAAAGAAGTTTGAAAAAAAAATATTTAGCACACTTACTCTCAAAACCTTTTCTTTGATTTAAAAAAAAAAAAACAAAGAAAAGATTTCCAAATTGTTTTTTTTCAGTTTTCATTGATTTTATGAAAACATAAAGAGAACATAAAGTAGTTGTAAATATTCATTCATTCATTCATTCATGTTAACATTTTCTTTGCTGCAACAACAGGGGAACTAAATTCACTCCAAGCCAGAAACACTGGAAAAAACAATCTACAAATAAGTAAAAAAAAATAATAATAAATTAAATGTATTTACCCTTAATTTGAGTAGGTAAATGAGATAGATTGCCAATGGAATTAGTATTTTTACTCTTAAAATAAGATATTTAAATAAAATGCACTGGAAATAAGACAATGCAATTTCGTTTTCTTATTTTAACAATTGAAATCAATCAGTCAGTAATCTTAATCTGCAGGGTTTGGACTTTTGTTTAACAACATTTATCTTCTAAGCACCATTACACTGGAAAAAAATCAAAATCTAGATAAGTCATTTTTTCTTAAAATAAGCGCATTTGTTCTTGAATTGAGGAGGTAAAAGAGACCTTTAGCCAACGGAACAAGACGATTTCCATTTCAAATAAGAAAACACAATTGGATTGTCTTATTTCCAGTGCATTTTATCTAATTATCTTATTTTAAGAGTTGAAATACTCATTCCATCGGCAAACTATCGCATTTACCTACTCAAATTAAGGATAAATACACTTAATTTAAGAAATGTATTAATTATTTTTAGATAGTTTTTCCAGTGTGAATACAGGAACAATTTCATCGCTGTTATATTTTGTTCTCATTTTCCTTGTTAACAACACGTGTTATCTTCAGGCCCTCTCAGAAGGCACTTCTGCTGAATCCTATAGACAGACAAGTAAAATGTACAAGACTCTATAGAAATGCTGAAATATGGACTGTCAATTATAAAGTGCATTTAAAGTGCAATCAGTTTATTCAGTTGAATTTCCCAATAGGCTCCATTATAAAAATAGGAAAATGTTCAGGAGTCACAAAAATAAACGCATGATGTAAAAAGGCTGATGAAGATTCTCAGTCATCCAGTCATAGTCCTTCCGTAAAGGTAAAAAAAAACAATCCCATTATAGACAGGTTTCAGGTATTACAGGAGACAATCCCCCCTTTAACGACCGACCTCAGAATCATAGACAGGTTTCAGATATTACAGGCTAACAATGAAACCAAACGACCCGCTCGTCGGTTTCCATTTGCATGTTTCCAAGCAATACAAGGCCTTGTCTATATCACTGTGGATCCAGACATTTGAATTGAGAAAGCTTCCTGGAGGGGAAGCGAAACGTCTTCAAACCTTGGAAACCAAGTCCTGTGGATTTCTTTTTTTTTTTTTTTTAAAAACCTTTACGGAATGATGCAAAAATATTTTTTAGATCGATTTACTGTAGCTTCATGTTTACACATGTTAAAGAATAGTCCAGTCAGCTACAATTTATCAATGGATCATTATTTATACCTAAAACGAATATGTTCACGGTGATTTAATGAATTTAGCGTTAATCACTAAAAAAATAAAAACAATACATTTCCGTCATGATCACTGAGTCTGGGAGCGGCCATTTTTGCTCAAATATAGTAACCCCTCCCTCCTGCCATCTTCCAGCAGTGACGTCACGGTGCGGTAAGCCTAGCGCCATATTCTCCGCTTTACAAGCAAAATCAATGGGAACTACTAGACACATCTGCAATCAACAACTATTATTAAAGATTTCCAGAGAACTTCACCATTGAAATTCACCAGAGCTTTGGTGAAACTGACAATGCCCACGTGCATGGCAGTTGGATGTTGGAATACATCGGGTAAAAGGGGGAAAAAAATTAGTTATTTCATATTTCTGATTCCTGATCCTCCACAGACGGGTTGGTCGTTGGATCGCCAACTTGAAGAAGGAGGATTTGCCATCGAATTTCTGGCCAGAGAAAAAACACGTAATATGTAGCCAACATTTGGAAGAAGAATGTTTTCAAGATGACTTGGATAATAGCGCGTTGTGACAAACACCAGATACAGCACTGGGACTTGATCAACAGCCGATATCGCACCGTGACGTCACAAACCAGTAGGTGGCAGTAGTGTTCTTTGACAAATGCCTCCAGTAAAGCACATTCAAGTAAAAATTACTCTTAAAAAAATACTTATCAGTTATTGAACAGTATATAATAATTTCATATTTAAAGTACTTTCAGAAGTTATGACAGGTTTTATTATCCTAGAGTTGTTTTAAATTTTTTTTTAAATGATAAAAAAATCCTGATTATGTCATTTTAGGCATCAGTAAA